CTTTAGACTTTTTTTGTCTCCCATCTGGAGATGGGAATGTAATCCTGAGAAAGGTGGAAGGAAAGAGAAGACAACACACAGCAAGGTGTATGGATTCAGTTACAGTGGTGATTGGGACACTATCAGAAGAGCTAAAGGACCAAGATAGGGACAGATCATCATGGAGAAAATTTATGTATATGATTAAGAGTTGACAATGATGTATGGGACATATAGTATTCAATCAAGTAGTAGAACTTATCTACGCATAAATTTAGCGGTTAAATTTATATTAATCATTGTGGCCTGCTTCAGGGTTCAATTGCACACACTCAAACAGGGTTGCTATGGAGATTAGCAATTTTATTTCAAGAAAATTGCATTATTTCAAGAAAAGTAACAGCAAATAAATAATAAACAAACCAAAGCTTGCCTGAAGAATTTTGACTTTAATAGGAGGATACAGAAAAAATGGTCCAAATCCACTGCAGGGTTCCAAGATCCAGCTTAGTTTTGTCAGCTTCTCCAAGTTCAAGTTTTCTTAGATAAACAGAATTCAGTGGAACGTCATGCAAGAGTCAGAGATCAGATGTTATCTCCAGCAAAGGGAACGTGGATCAGAGTTTTTAAAAATCAGGTTGTAATCAGCTGTCATTAATCAAGAGATTTGTTCCCTTGCTGGGCAAGTAGCTTCATAGAATGACTCTGCTTTGCTCTCTTCTCCAGGTGGAGGGCTGTGAGGCTTTACATCATCATCATGTGACTGGTCTAGTTGTCTAGGTGGTACATGTGTCATCCGATTCTTGGCTTGGCATCTCCTAAGGCTGACATTCCACAGATTTATTTGAAGCAGATTCTTCAGGTTCAGAATCTGAGTCCTGAACCTGAATCTCAATGACACACTGGTTATTTCCAATGTTTTGAATAATAGCTTTTAAACACTGTTTTATTATCTGTGTGACATGATATAGATTTTTATTATTATTGAGGGATTCATAAAATGGCCACTTCCTGACTGAATTGATCATATATGGCTGGCGCACAGGGATAAATAGATTGCTCAGGAAAGATAATTCAAGCAATTGTATTGTCTGAACACGGTCATTATCTTAACTTAGGTGTCAAATTCGATCCCATCGTGGGCTGTATCAGGATTTTATTTGCCCTTGGGAGTCCGGGGTGGGCACGGCCTGGTTGTCATGGTTGACTGGGTGGGATGGCATAAGCCGGTTCCTCACCATGTCTGGGACAACCCCGCAGAACAACTCTGGACCAATCATGGGCTGGATCTGGGCTGCAGGCCGCATGTTTGATACCCCTGACTTAGAAGCCACTCAAGGCGGTATCAATTCCTGTTCTCTCTTTATGGCAAGCAGTAGTCCTTGAATTTAAGATACAATTGAGTCCAAAATTTCTATTGCTAAGTGAGACATTTTTAAGTGAGTTTTGCCCCACTTTACGACCTTGCTTGCCACAGTTGTTAACTGAATCAATACAGTTGTTAAGTAAAATAATGGTTAAATGAAACTGGCTTCCCCATTGATTTTGCTTGTCAGAAATTTGCAAAAGGCAATCACATGATTTCAGGATGGTGCAACCATTATAAATATGAACCAGCTGCCAATCATCTACATTTTGATTGCGTGACCAAGGGGATGCTACATCAGTCTTTAAGTGTGAAAAATGGTCATGTCACTTTTTTTTTTTTGGTAAATTTTATTTGAGTTTTCACAAAGAAAATACAAATGAAACATCTTTTTTGAAAGTAGCGTAATCCCGGGTTACATTTCTTCGCACAGACACAAATTCAATTTCATGCTAATTTTTATGTCCTATTCCATATCTTATTACTGTTTTACATTTTCTGCATAGCTTCTCCCCTCTTTTAATTTTCTCAATTTTATTTTAATTATCTCGTCTCAATTCAAATCATTATATTTATATTTTTTGTCTGTCCTGTTTCAATTATCTATTATCTTTTCTCTTTAAACAAAGTTTCTCCTGTAGTTACTGATTGGAGTATGACGCCTTTATATCTTTTAAGTTTATCCATTTAACTCTTATTTAGGCTTCAATATATACCCTAAAGTTATAACATTCAATATAATACATAACTTCCATTCAGATTCTGCTTGGTACATTCTTAAAATACACACTATATTCTTAAAAAAAGAAAAAATATAAATATATGTAATTAAAACAACACATTCCATTTCAATTCAATTCTATCATCAATGTTAATATTCATTAAAATCTTAACTTCTTTAACATTACTTTTCAATTAAATATCATACTTCTATGGTAACAATTATAAGCTTTCCATAATTAATCCGCCCCTCACTTATATTTTATAAAACATTAACTAATTAAAATGTTCCCGACCCTTCCAAATTCAATTTTCTCATTTATTTTATTTCACTTATTTTATTAACAAACATTTCACTAAATTACACTAACTATTTTATCCCTCATTTTAATCATACATTGTTTCCAATTTTCTAAAGTTATTTCTATTACTAATATAACAATACAATCTTATGTACCTTTACAGAATCCCCTTTTCAGTTAAATTTTCACCCATTATCTCTAAATAGTTCCCGTTTCTCTATATCTTGTTCCGGTCCTTTGTAACTTCTTTTCCTTTCCTTCTTCCCTCTCTTCTTCTCTCTTCCCTTTTTACCCCCTTGTCTCTCTACCTCTATTTCCCTCTTCTTTGTTCCCCTCTTCTGTTGCTTTCCAGTATTATACTTATTTTTCTAATTATTTTTCTTTTCTTTGGTTGTTGTTTTTAAGTCTTAAATTCTCCATTCTCTTAACCCCCTTTCCTTTTTCTTCCCCACATAGAATTACTTGTTCATTAAAGATGGCTTCTTCTTTGTCCCAGTCTTCTTGTTTTGCAGACGTTTCTTGTTGTTTCTCATAGTTCCAAATCTCCATTTCTAAGAACTGAAAAACGAAGCCAAAAGAACCTCTCCCTTCTTGTGCATCTTTATACTTTTTAAGTTCCATTTTCAATTCATCCAGAAGTAGTACCATTGTATAAATTTTTAAACAACCACCCGATTAATTTTAGTCATTCAAATGCAATAACCAAGAATCCAAAGATCACCAAGTAATCCAAATACACACAAGCTGTTTCTTTTTGCTCTTTTTTTCACTTTCCCTTCCTGGGGTTCTACTGTTTAGTTACAAAGTTTCAGTTAAAATGTATCTTTTAGAAGTCTTGTTGAAGTTTTACTGTAGATTCTTTTTAATTCCAGGCAGTCTCCTCCCTCTTTCCAGATCCTGCCCTTTTGTACTTTTTCTCTCCCTTCCTGCTTATGAAATTTTTTTTTTAGTGTCCAGAAATCTTTATTATCCCTTTGACATTTTGTTTTATTTTCAACTTAATTGCCTGTTGATGTCAAAGCAGATTTTTCAGATTTCTTATTTAAGTCTCTTAGTTGTCAGTATAGGGAAAGGGAGAGAAGAAAAAAAACCCAAACCTTTCCCTTTTCACTTTCCTTCGCTGCTTCCGACTCTTCTTTGGGAGCGGTTATTTTTTTTGTAAATTTAAATTCCAGGGTACCTTAGTTGTTGCTTTTGCAATTTAACCCGGTCAGCCAAAACTTTCACTTCTTATCTTCCTCCTGCACATTCTTTTCCGGTCGAGTTCTTCTTTGAGGTGGCCATTTTTGACCACCACTGCAACTGCCTTTGGGAAAGGGAGTAATGGCCAGCTGAGGAGGAGAGATGCGGCTCTCCTCAACCCTGCTGGCAGTCTCCCCCCTCTTCAATACCTCTACGGGGTGGCTTAGCCCTGAAACCAGCCGGCTCGGGGTGCTCCAGCGGCGAGCCCAGACCGAAACCGCGCACGATCGCGGATTTCTATCTGTCGCCGAAGGAACTCAAACCGGAAGCGTCATGTCACTTTTTTCAGTGCCATTGTAACTGAATGTCATTAATGCTTCTCCATCACCCAGTGAATTTCATCAAATATTTGATATTCCTCACCTTGTGTTATGTTGTCAGTCACTGGAAATAATTGTAACTACTTTAGGTAATAATTAAACTATTACCTGGTATAAAAGTGAGATATTACACTCAAAACTATTCTCACTACTACCGTAATGTTAAAGAGAGTGTAAGTTTGGTGTAATGGTTAAGGCATCAGGCTAGAAAGCAGGAGAATGTATTTTAGGTCTCTCTTGGGCACAAAGCCAGCTCTGTGGCTAGGCTAATCACTTTTTCTCAGCCCTGGGAAACAGGTAATGGCAAACTGCTTCTGAAAAACTTTTCCGAGAAAATAGCAGGGACTTGTTCAGGTAGTTTCTGAAAAAAATTTATGTTTGAAAGGAAGGAAAAAAAGGATTAAACTGTTTTTCATATTGAACTTGTCTTTGGTTGATGTAGATATGTAAACAAGCAGATTCAGCAAAGATATCGTATATATTTTTATACTGTATACAAAAGGTAAAATACGTTTGTGCTGTTATGTACTATATATTCTTACAGAGCTCTATTGCTGGTTGCAATACAATTTAGATGTCCTCTATCAAAGTTCCAATCCCAACGCTGCATTGGAATCCTACTACTAGTATCAGGCTCAATAAACTAGGTACTAATACTTCAGACAATGGGAGAGAAGAGCTTCAACGCAATAACAGTCTGTCAATGAGGTAGAGTACCATTGCCTCCCTTTATATCATCAAATTACTGGGTTCTTTTCTACCCACTAACAAAGCAATAATGCAGTAATTTAATAATTCATTCAAAATATCAAAGCTCTGTTAATTACTGAAATGTAATTTGAAATAAGAAGTTTGGAATTTGTTCTGCTTAATCTATCACATGGAAGATGCAGATATGATTAAAGTTCATATTAATCATGACAAGAGCCTGTATAATTTGTCTAATGGCTCTGGCTCTAGAGTTTTTAGTTTTGTCTTGTACAGTTATTCAAAATCAATAGAAAGTAATACAACTGATTGTTGAACCCATCATTTATTAGAAATTCAGGCATTTATATTTTTTCCCAACAGTAAAAGATTTAACTATTATACACAGTGGAAGGAAGGATGCAAGCTATACATCTTGGAGAAAAGAACTCTACAGTTGCACTATAAGTTTACCAGATTGCTTCAGGATACACTGTTATAGTTTACAATTAAAATTAAGGTTCACCCAAAACATTTGCCTTAAGGATCAAGACTAGCCATGAAGATCCACAAGAATGAATGAGGAATAAAGAAAGTTCATTTTTTCATGGTAAGGTTGTGCTGTTAAATGTCAAAAGGGAATAAAACACATTTGTCAATGTGTATTTAATTTTTTTTAATATTCAGCAGGACAAAGCAGAGAGAATGAGGGCAATGTAATACATGGCGATTTCTACGTAAGCCTCTGCTTGAAAACTGTACAAAAGAAATCAACTGCAGAAAAAAAAGCTATTGCTAAACATTTAATAACTCCTACTTAATTGAAAATTGTGAGTTTAAGGCATGAGCCCCTTTCCTTATCAAAGTTTTAAAAATTTAACACCTCATTAAGTGATGAATAAATGAAATTGGATAAATTATGTAAAAGAATTACCCTGCATCATTACATATTTGAAAGAGAAAAAAATCATGCACGTACAGCATGGTAGGTAGCACAAATGAAGGAACGTTGATATATTATGCTTTCATAGCAGGGCCCTTTAAATAATCCGGTAGCACTGAAAGGCTTCTTTTGTAAGCAGCTATCCCTCATCTTAATGCACAGGGTGAAGTGACAGTAGTGTGCTGTTTACAACACTTTCCCTTAGAACAACAATTTTATCAAAATGTTTTCTTTAATAATATCAAGAGTTTCCATTTTATTTACATTAGGATTTATCAACACAAGATAAAGTGCAAAGTTCCCAGTCTCTCCCTCCCTACCCTCAATAGTGTATTTGGCTAATTTACATATTAAAAAATTTGAATACTGCTTCATAAATCGTCTCTCAAACAAGTCACCAGCTGCTTTGTTTCTTGAATACAACTTGCTCTTTTTATTCTTTTATCAAAGTATGAAAAATATTCTTGCTCTGGACTACTTTGGCTTTAAGGTGTTTTCCTGATCCTCACAGGAAATTTTTATTGGCAAATCTGTCAGGTGGCAAATTTACAGCATTCTGTAAGTACACTGAAGCCTCTTCTTTTCAACCATAATTTATGGCATTACTTGCAAGAGAAAACATTAAATTTAATGTAGGAATCTGATATGTAACATTTACATTACAGAATCACACTTGGAAGCTAAACCACCAGACTGAGACATTCGCCAAAACACTCAACTGCACCTTGCACCAGGAATTCATAAAAATGTTGTTCCAGTACTAATTGTCATTGTACTTCCCCTTCCCTTTGCTCTTTCCTTCATTCAAGGGATGAACAAAATTTCTTGTGCTATAACTACTATCATTACAACTATAACTAATGCACAGAGGACAACCATCTTTGATGAAGTTAACTTCATTCTAGAAGATGTGCCATATTAAAACTCTTCAGCTCTGATGCAAAGCCCATTTAACAATTATAGATCTTCTGCTAGCTTTCAGTGGGTTTGAAGGCCTTTGGTTTTGAGTGAGTTTTATTCAGTACTGCTGTAGTCAGCAGTATTATCTACAACTACTAGACAATGTGGGAAGTCACTCCCAGGCCAAAGTTTATTATTTAATAGCTTAAATCCAATGTAAAATTGATGTTTAATGAGAGTCAATAAAATACCACCCACCAGTTTCTATGAATAAACATGCCAATCTGACTCTTTTTTCACATAAACTATTAATGTTAGATACTGTCTTAGGATTCAAATCCTCTGAAGCTCAAAATGATGATCAAGGTTTTATTAAAACCACTAGGAATTTGAAAGTTTCCTTAAATGGCATGCAGCATAATTTGCCATTATTTTGAACTGCATGATGGTGTTTTTGGTGATGCAATACTAGATGTTCAAGAATCACAGGCAACACACACACAAAATTATATGTTGTTGTTAAAATTAGCCTCTAGCACTAAATGTCATGAAAAACTAATGGCCCTTTCCTTGTGCCAAGACATTTGTACAATACTTGGTCAAGCTGAGAGTAAGGCAAATAAAGATATCTAAAAACATGTTTCAAAGATTCTAACATCAGTTATTCTTCACATCTTACATAAAAGTCCTCAATTTCCTGATAATTATTTTTGATTTAATAAAGTATGACAGCAAACCTTGTTAGGTGATTTAGGAAAATACTTTACTTAATCTGATCTTCAAAGTAACTATTGAACAGATTGCTCGTGTAAACAGATAGTTGTTGCATTTTTAGTAGTAATTTAGTTGCCGAAACTTTGTTATTTGCATTACAAGCCCATACAATATAAAATGGTTATAAAAAGGTTTACCCTTTTGATCTAGATCTAGAAGGTTGTCATAGGATGCCAGTCTATTGAGAAATTATGTCATGGTCATTGTATTTTTAATGTGAATATTCTGAAGTTACAAATATTCAAATACAGTTTTGTTACACGTTCAGTTATAAAAACCATTTAAAATATTTGATTTCTGGTTTAGCCTTTCAGTGAAGGAAGCAGTGGGACTATTTGTTTAATAGTTTAAAATGCAAACTAGCAGTCTAAAATACTTTAGTTGTTTTCATTATATAGCCATGTGTTTTTAAATTTAAAATGTGCATTAAAAAGACATATCTTATGTTGTAACTGAAGAAGATGAAAATATCAACTTTTAAAGTGCCGTTCAGTTAATTGGAGTAACATAAATTGGTGATCTATTTGCAATACAAATACAACATGGCTATATACATGAACTTTTGCATTTGCTGAGATGTGCATTTTAGGTTTTCACATCATTAAATTTTGGAAAAAAAACTACCAAAACTTTGTCCCTTAGCATCTTATAGAACACACTTTATTTTTATTTGGACAAATTTTTAAAATGTTTTTAGGACAGCAGGAAAGAACTTAGAGGTCCTTAATTCAATATTAATACTAAATGCAATGTGAAAACTGCTGATGAAGTGTAGTTCTATGCCTGAGACAACTGCTGAATAATGTCAACCTTATCCAGAATGTTTACTATATAAGGTAGTCGAAAGGATATTTTGAAATGTATTTATGTCTTTTGGCATAGCAAAATATGGGAGTAAGAGACCAAAAAAGATGTTCAAACAGATCTGGACTTATAGGAAGAACCATTTAGACTATGTTACCTTCCTCACATAAGTAAATGAAGAACAAGCTTTGTGTGTGCACACTGATTATCAGGTTCTGGACTGTGGGCAGACAGCAAGAACTCTGCATTTTAAAACATGATACCTAGGACAAATATATGGTCCAACATGACATTTGTTCTCACTACCAAAATAAAGATAAATTGAAGCCATTGCCAAGTTTATTAACTATTACTGTAAAGTTTTTGCTTTGTAGCCTCATTAGGACCAGACTGAGATTCCAATTGCTTACAAAGAGCTCATAGCAACTTGAAATTATTTTTAGCTTCAAATATGTGTGTGTGTGTGTGTGATGTGTGTATCCAACCTTAAAAAAATCAGCAAATAGTCCAAATCTGTAGCAATACCTCTCTATTCAATAGTTTGTTTGAAAAACAGAAGTATTGAAATATTCAACACATTAGAATTTGTGAAGTCATAACACTCTAATAAATATTAATAAATGAGTTATGCTGGCCAATTTCTATGTTTCAATGTAAAAACCAATATATATGCAAAAACACTAAGATTAGAAATGTTTAGCACCCATGAAAATCTGAAATATTTAGTCTCAAAACAAGTAATTTTATGTAGTGCGTGTGGTGAGCAGAGGTGTTTTAAATCAGAATTTAGAAGTTTTACTTTATCTGTGCCTTTCAATACTAGGTGAGTATGATAGGATTCTATTCAAGAATGCCAAACTCATGCATGGTTTATGTTACAATCTGTAACGTAAGTCAATTTCTTAAACAGTCATTGCTTTGGGCATCTTGAGTTTCTTTTGATCTTTCCTTCAGGTTAGAGACCATGCTTTGAAACTGCAGAGGTTTTCATACACATTCTGAAATTAAGTATTATAATGTGGGGATCAAATTTTGCTTTCTTATGTATATTTTAATTTACACAAAAATCTTACTTTTTTAAAAAAGTATTTATAATGCACCTGCTTTTTTAAAAAATATTACACTTGTTTGAATCCATAGTCTTTCATTCCAGTTTACTGCTTTCTGTTTTCTGATCCAATCTGCTCTTGTTGCTTTTTACCATGTAGATAAAGTAAGCAAGAGTTTCTTTTTCATTCACTGGGATGTTCCTGAAGTGACGACTTACAGTCTGAAAAAAACAAATATTTTTTTAAATAAAAATATTTTCCTAGCAGAAGGAACATACATGTGGAAATCATAAAGTCTTCACTGACTTACTTCTGCCAACTGAGCTTTATTGAGACCAGGTCTGGTTTGTAATTTGTAATGTCTTTTGTAACGGCGCAAAGTGTTTACCTGAAGCTGAAACAAATCAACCTAAAAAAGGGGCACAATGAAAATATATATTTAGTTTAACTGATAACTGAAAACAATTAACCCTCTACAATGCATTGCATTTTAATAGCAAAAAGCTTCTTTACAATCTATATAAAGTTGTATATGTTCATCGTTTCCCAGGGTTATATGATAGGATAGTCATGTGACCCCAGGAAAACAATACAGAAGTTTTAAGAAATTGCAGGGGCAACTTTAGTGCTATAATGTGCTTCAAAACATTTGTTCTTTAAAAGCACTGTATTCCTAAAAAACCTATGCAGCAAAAGCAAGTTATGGCAAACCTTGCTTGTTAAATTCTTAAACATTTACTTGTATTAGGAAATGTGTAGATGATTACAGGTATATAACATGTATATAACATATAACATGTTTTCAGCATATTAGTATTTTTGTTAAGTTTTTCTTCAGAATTTTGAAAGCTACAAACTTAGAGAATGAAAGCAGATATTTGTACAATATGTTAATACCTCAAAAGATGGTAGAACTGAAAATTATGAGAAAAGGACAATCAGATTAAGTGATCTGTGACATTAAATAAGCAAAGAAAGAAGACTTGCTAGAGGTCCACAATGTAGAGCATGGCGCAAATGAAAGGTAGATGCTGAGGAGAGATTCAGGACAAATAAAAGTAAGGACTTGCTCAAACTCTACATGTTTATTCAAGATATAGTAATGATCACCAATGTGATAAACATAGGGTTCTTCTATAAGGCAAGATAGAAAATGGCAGAAAGTTGCTGTGGCTGTTCTTGAACTGATAACCAGTGGAAAGTTAAAGCACTTCAGAGACAGTATCAAGATAGTTTTAATCTGCTGTATCCAAAGTTGCTCCACTTTCTAGGTGTCTTAATTCAGGCCTGAATTGTGACCAAAAAATTGTGAGCCCTTCTGAATTCTTGATTTGCAATATTCACAAAGTTTGTGATATGGAAAAAAGATATACTTCCCCAATGTGATTTATAAGTTTAAAACTGTATGAATAAGAAAGTTCTGAGCACTAATGATTGGAATACAATCTTAATAAATACATGTTATTATACTACTTTTAGGAAGTGTAATTAAACTTACAAAAATATAAATACAATCTAAACAGTAAACCTCAATTTTATTATGTAAATCACCTCTGGAACATCTATTTCATGCTCCGGAGAATCTCCCCCATCATCACTGGTTTTCCTTTTCCTTTTATTTCGGACACTTTGAATGAAGTTCTTATGGAAATCACATATATATAAGTGTCTTACCTAAAATTAAAGAAGAAAAATATTAAATAGCACAATCCTTACAAAAGCAAAGAGAACGATAAAAAGAAAATCTGAGAACTTTCAGTGCCACAAATTTGAGCTTTTTGAAAAAAGGTTTTCATAGGTTCATTTAAGAGCCATTGCACATCAAAAAGGTATGGCAGAAGCAGGGGTGGGATTCTACCGGTTCTGTCTGGCTCTGTAGAACCGGTAGATCTGAAGAGCAGCAGACATAGAACCGGTTCTATGGCTGCTGCTGCTTTGGCCCACCCACCCGCCCAGGCTCTTACCTGACCTTTATTTCCTGCTTTTTCAACCTCAGCTGCCTTGTGAGGCATAGCTGCGATTGAAAAAGCAGATAAATAGTTTTTCAAATGCTGCTTCCCTGCACGCAGCGCTGCTCAGCTGTCCAGGCAGCTAGATGACTTAATCCTGTCTGATCCCACCCTTGGGAAAAAGGGCTACTTGCCAAATTAAGTCTTCCAGAAACCCTCTTTTTGCTCATCTGCTTTCTTCAAGTTTAGTAATGAGGCTGTTTTAAAAATGGATTTATTGGGGTAGTAAGTAAATATGTTTAAAACTAAAACTGTGGGCTACAATGTAAAACTGAACACTGAACAGTCGAATTTGGTTTTTAATGTTAAAGTCCTTCCTGTGGGGTACCTGTGTATTTTGTAGGTCTGTGTGCAAAAATAATATATCTTGACATTACACTTTTTCAGCCCAACTAACCTCACAGAGTTGTTGTGGTGAAAATAGGAGAAGATGTGTTGGATAAGCTTACCACCTTGAGTTATTTGTAAAAATAATGAAGGCAGGATATGAATAAATAAATAATTTTTTTTTGCCTGTACGTAATAATATTCATACAAGAAAGAGGAGAAAAGTACACTGTACATTACAAAACACATTTTTTTCATTTTCTTTTAATCTCAGCTTGCTGTGGGCAAGCCTGCTAATAATCATGAAAACCCTTAAAAATCAATTTTCAAATAAAAAAAATCAAGTGTTAGAATTTAATAGAATTAACAAGCACCTCCCCCAACAGTGAGGAACTATTATGAAAAAAAATTTAGGGGGGCAGAAAAAGTTGCGGATGACAGTATTGCTATTCAGTACTGAACTGTGACAAATTCCAGTTATTATTAGATCTAGGCTTGGACACTTCCTATAAGCTGTCAAGAGCTGTTTGATTAAGTTAGGGTATAAACTAATAAATAAGCCAATCAACACTCCCCAGGGATCACTGTTCATTGATAAAGGAATCTGATTGCTCCCGATTTATGCTTTTTCTCTTATACACACATTAATACACATTTAGTAGACAACCTGTGACCCCTTGGGGCATCATTTCACAGATACTTTACCAGATTCCTTATTGCCTTCAACAATGGCAGAGCTTCTTATATAGCTGAACAATTTTTTTTAAAATTCAGGGAGACATTCAGAGATATATCTGCCTTGAAAAGAAACCATGTTGAGCTGTATAGTGCAATCAAACATTAGGAGTTGACTACGGGATATGCTTTATGACATGTTGTATTGCGTCATAAAATGCTTATGATAATTTTAGGTCATAAAATGCTTTATAAAATTTGCCAAATTGCTCATTTGAAGTATCTTGGTTCAAAGCATTTTGACCTATGATGCACTGCTTCACCCAATGATAGGTCACAGACATGAGAGTTTTAGTAATAGGTTTATGAACTTGGCAGAATATTGCAGAATTATAAGATGGTAGTTGCTGTATACATGAAAGGGATTGAATGATGCAGCAGAAACTTCTAGTCACAAACCCTATTTCTGGAGTCTTACAGTTAGTATACTAATGAAATGATTACTAGCTTAATTAAAATAACTGATTTGGTAGACAATTAACTATGACTATTTTGGATATATTTCTCCTCAGAAAACTAGCCCACAGTTAACTTTTTCTACTAATGCTTTCATATTTTTTTTGGCAATAATTGTGCTGAAGTAATGCTGAAAGAAATGAAATAATTAAAGTTTATTCTTCACATTATATTTGATTCGGTTAAAAGCATTAACTATAGACTAATTTAATAGGTAACAGAAACAGTCTTACTAGATATCCACTGATACTTTATGGATTTTTTATGTGGTGTGAAGAAGAAAATGCCTGGAAGTAACTGTAATCTCATTGCAAGTTTTAATTTAGAAGGTTTAAGTAAAGTACATTAAAAGAGACCTAGAAAAAATTCTTTCCATTCCTCCTTTAATTTCTCAATGAAGACAAGTTTAATTTGGATTATGCTTTATAGACAAATCCTAATGTATAATCTGGATGAATACAAACAATCATTACTACCACGTATGATGTCTCAGCTTAAAATGACCAATGTGACAGATGGCACAGTAACAATTGGTTGGCAGCACATTAATTTGTTTGATGCTAGCCAAGAAACATGCTTGCTGTTTTCATTTGACTGCAGTTCACTGCTGGAGATTTGACAGTTTTTAAGTGAATTATTTTAAGACTACTAACAGTATAGTACATCAATTAATATGTCAAGAGACTTTGGTTTTAGTCTACCCTTTGACACAGAAGCACATCTGTGCATTACCCTGAAAATGAAAAGCAGCATATACATCTAATAAATAAAACATTTGAACTATTTAGCTGGACATTTTATTGATTAACTTAAAAATACATATATTAAGTTCTTTTTTAATATTAGCACCTGTAATATCAGATAGCAGATACATCACTATATGGCTATTGATTACAAAGCAGCTATTTTTTCTATTCTTAAATTACAAGTCATAAATAACGGATCTCTAGCATGCTTCTAGTATATTTTTATAGAGAATGATATCAACATTCTCCCCCCTCCAAAAAAATCACAATTGGGTACAGCTTTTTTTATTTTAGCTATTTACTACAAACTTGCCTTTCCCAATTCTTCCCAATTATCATTTCATACATACATTTAAGTAGTTAAACAGCCATAATCCATGTACTTTCCCCCTAACAATATGACGCTTGTATTTCCTTTTCCCACGAAGTCTTTTTATTATCATGCAACCCTAGAATTTCCAGATAGTCTCCCATTCAAATATTTATCACAGTCCTGCTTAGCTTTGTCCAAACTAGCTAGATGCTGCCACCTGCTGTGGCTTTGTGCTATTTTTGTCACTGAATGAAAAAGAGATTAACTTTGGTACTATTGCTATTACATTTATATGTAAGACAATTATTTTGCTCTGTAAAAAAAACACAATTCCCTAAAAATATAATAGGGTTTTAATGGTGGTGCCGTGTCAGGCATATCTCTATTTACACTGGCTTCTTTAGTAGGATCATAATCCAACATACTTTCATTTTAATGCTGCATCATTCAGATTGTTCCTATCACGTTTTCTCAGCATAGGGAAATACTGCTTTGCTGACGCTGGGAATTCACAGCAGCTCAGCAGCATTTGATTGAAAAAAAAAACCTCTACAATTTGAGCGTGTAGTACAGCAGCGCTACTATAACAACAGACGAGACAGGTTCGGTGCACAATTGCAGATAGAGAGAGAAGCCTGCAGTGGGTAAAGCTTCTACGGTTGCCACTTACACTTTTGTCAATATCCAGTTTCAGCTTTTTCTGAGAGATGCTCTTTTGGATCCTCTTGCTGAAGGAGGCATTGCCAGCCGGGCGGACACAACGATCCCCGTCGTCGATGAGGCAACAACTTTGTCCGTAAAAAGGGGTGGTAGGAGGACCATCCCGGCTATCTTCCTCTGTGCTGAAACCATTCATCGCAGCCTCCCGCCGGCCTCGGTCGACGAAAGACCAACTTCGCCAGCCTTTGCGCTCGCCAACCTCCGCCCTTCTCTTCCCTCTCGGCCCGGCCTATCCCACCCTGGACTTGGCGGGCTTTTAAGGAAACATCTGGAGGGTAGCCGTCAAAGCAACGCTGGCTTCGCCCGCCGCCTCCACCGGGCGGCCTTCCCAGGGGCCCCGAGGAGCCCCTCACGCCGCCATCCCGCCCAGGGGCCCCGGAAGCGGTCCTTCGTGGTGGCGGCTTCCCTCGCCTCTCCCGAGGAATCGCTTTCCCGCTTCAGCCCGCGGACGCGCTCCGCCTGCCCCGACCCGGTGGGGACCCCAGCCTCGCAAGCAACTCCTCCGAGAGGCGGCGAAAGCAAGGAGGGTCCGTCTTCTCGTCTCCTCACGGCCTCCCGACCCCCCTCTGGCAGCCGGCCGAGGACCGCGTCCCTTCGGCTGCCTAGGTCACAGCCCCCGGAGCCGGCAGCCCGGTACGGGTGGCTGTGCCCAGCTGCCGGCCCCTTCCGCGGAACTCGTCAGGCGGACACGACCTGTCGCTCCGCCGGAGAGGCCACCAGGCCACGGAGCCCAACGCCCGCACCCACCCGCTCCCTCACCCGCCTCGCTCGTCTCTTTCCCACTCCCTCAAACACAAAACCTGCCCGCTCCGCCTCTTTCGCCTCCGAGCGGAAGTCCCGTCCCCGGCCAGCCAGTGGTTAGTGCAGCTCGAGAGGCGGGGCTTCAGCTCCCGCTCAGACCAGGTATTGGCCGAGGTAGCTGCTCGTGCCGATAGGCTCCTTCCTGCGCGAGGGGAGGCAGCCGGAGAGCGTTTGAAGTCCGTGCTCGGGAACGGGCTGGGAGAGTTCGGAGGTTGGTGGACGGGCAGCTCCTGAGCTTCGGAGCCAACTTCGGCAGCGACACACGGGAAGCCGTTAGCAAGAGGGCGGGGCGGGGGACGGTGAACGTTCGAAAACCAACGGCTCTTGTGCACCTCAAAGGCGGAGCTGCCTCGCGGCACTCGGGCGACGCTGGTGAAGTGGACTTTTCACCAGGAGTGCTTTGGTCCTGCTCGGACCGCTTTGCGTGTCTGGTTGCTGCAAACTAATAGAGCGTTCCCTCCGGAGGATCAGAGCGCAGCGTTACCGGGGAAGGGGCAGCGGCGAGATCCAGCGGAGGAAAAGAGAAAAGAAACTGGGAAACTAGTAGGGTAGAGGGAAGGTGCGCGGCGGCATGGACCGCCTTTTGAACCCGGGTAAAATGAAGGCCGGGAGCTTCCTGTAACCCTCAGAGACTCAATTGCAAAAGATAATTGGACGTCCAGGTCTCAGCTCTTACGGATTTTTGAGGCTAAGATCCAGTGATTCAAATTCTTGTGAGAAACAAACGAGGAACAGATGGATCTCTGGAAGTTCCAAAGGTGCTTTTTCAAGAGGCAACTGGACTTTCTGGTTTGCCTTTGTATACATTTTGCTTCTCATCCAAAAAGTTTCTTCAGCTCTGACTGAATCTCCAAACCTCCAGCTGTCTGCAAGGAATGTAAATCCTTCAATTCCGCACTTTCCAGTCAGAGCTGAAGAAGCTTCTTGGATGAGAAGCGAAATGTCTTCAAAGAAAAAACCATAAAATCTACCATAGTTGTCTCTTGAAAAAGCACCTTTGGAACAACCATGACCTGGATGACTGAGACTCCATAGACATAGATCTCTGGAAGTTTTTACCTTACAATTTTTCAGCCCTGAATACTTTTTGGGGTGTAGGCATTTGGGACCCCATTGCACAAGCTGGATTAGTCTATTGAAGATGTGTCTAGAACTCATGACTCTGAAGCCATAAAAGGGTTAATTATACTGCTCCTAGGTTGAATAGCTGATTATTGGAATTTACTTCACAATGGAATGCAGTGATGCTTGGGCAATTTTGTTGAATGTTTTTGTCAGCAATACATCAGCTCTGGCTGCCACACGCTGAGCTATGTACAATTGCCCAGTTGGCCCCAAGGTTACTGTTCCTAAAATACATACTCATAAATGAACAATTAGTAGAGCATCAGAGTCTTCGTCCCCCCTGGCAGGTATGTAAATAAATGAAAATGCACTTTGCTTTACTTTTTGAGTAGCCAAGAGAAACTTGGAGTCAAAAGTAACTTAAAACTTGTTTTACATTCTTAAGATGCTTTTAACTGAAACTTTACAGAATTCTACAGATCTAGACCTTTTTTCTGTTCATGACCTTCAGATATATTCCATCTAGATATATTCCATATTCCTGCTAAAAAAATCTGTTAAGGAAGAAAACTATGCAGCATATTTTCCTTTAAGCAAGGAGTGTCCAATCAGTGGCCCATGGATCTCATGCAGCCCTGGATAGCAATGAGGCTCACAATATTGTAACAGTTATTTATTTGTACCCGTCATTATTTTTACAAATAACTCAAGGCATCGAACATATTCAACACACCTTCCTTCTCTCATTTTCCCCACAACATCAATCCTGTGAGGTAGGTTGGGCTGAGAGCGAGTGACTAGTCCAAAGTCACCAGCTGGCTTTCATGGCTAAGGCAGAACTTAAATTCATGATCTCACTTTTTATGACATATATTAATATACCTATATATAACACACACATAACCTGCATATTATCACATAATTTTATATGCAGCCCAATACAATTCTTGTTCTTCAGGGCGGCCCAGGCAAACCAAAAGGTTGGACACTCATACTTTATGCAAAGCTAGCAGCTGTTCACCTGGAAAAGCCACTATATATTTGCCCATTATACTGCCATACATGGCTTCCACATGATATTGTCTTCATCTTTCAGCACATGTGTGAGGCAGCCTTAGGTCATCCTTTGCTGTTCCACCTTTGTTTGTCCTCTTAAGCTAACAGCAGCCCAGATTCTTTCAAAATGTAAACTTTTCACCACAAGATAGAGACAATTAAGAAGGTACTAGACTACAGAAATGGATAGACTTACATTGAAAATCAAACAGAAGCATGCAATCTTTTCAGACATGGAACTTATTTTACCAGTGGTTGGAAAAAAGGGGTGGAAAGTAAGAATGGAAGCTATTGTTAAGCAAATTAAATACTCAGACAGCATGATATTTATTAAGCACTAAGAAATGTAATTAATAGAAAATTAATAAATTTTATTAAAAAAACTGTGTAAAATTGAATGAAAGTTTCCTTAGCCATTCCAAACTGGTGAGCATTCCCTCTCTTTGAGACCCAGAATACTGTCTTCTGCCATCTTTCTATCCCATTCCTTCCAGCAAAGAAAGCTGCATACAGCTATTCAAAAGCCTACAGCTCTACCTGATATTTGATGAGTTTGAAGTTTTTGAATGAGTTCAGGAATTGTGCTTTTTACCTTGTCAAATGCAACAAAGCAAGAGAGCTATATCATGTCAAAACTCTACAGCTTTCTTGGCCCCATATGTGCTCCCTTCCCACGTTATTGTCCTGACTTTATAAAAGTGGACCCAGCAAACCGTTTACATTATTTGGATTTGCATTACTAAGATAGAGAGGAGTGAATTTGTCTTGCAAAACACCCATAGTAGATACCAATCATTTCCAACCAGGGCTGGGCACACCGTGCATGTGCAGGGATGTGAAGCACCAGAAAGCCTGCTCATTGGAAAGAATCTTGACACGTCAGCGCGATCTTATTATGTATTTTCCAGAGCAAATATGGAATAAGGAATCGCCTCATCTCCCAACATGATACTACATAAAGGAGACATTTACAGCATGTGCACCTATGCCTAATTCAAAGCATCTTTTCATCCTTGTTCTTGTATCTCAGGATAGGAATAGATGTTAGGACCCCCTATATTATATAACTGCTGGATTACTACCCAAGGATCCATTTATTGTCCTAATAAGTTTGGAAGTACTACATTACAGTTTATGATGTGAAACATAAAATCACAAGCCAACATAATTATTTTTCATGCATCCATAAGGAATTTGACTAAATTAACCACTTATAAGAACGATGTGACATTTGAAACAAAACAGCCTGAATATCTCATTTAAAGAAAGGTTGCCATCTTCATAGTATCCAGACAGGTTCATCAAAAGCCAGGCCGTCCTATTGAATGAAAAATCGATTACATTAATAATTTAGATAATTGTACCAACACCTCACCCCACCACACATGGAGAGCCAATTTAAGGATTAAGGCACCAAGCTAGAAACCAGGACACTGTAAATTCTAGTTTTGCCATGGGCACGAAGCCAACTGGGTGACCTTGAGCCAGTCACTTTTCTCTCAGAAAGTAGGCAATGGCAGACCACTTCTGAAACCTTGCCAAGAAAATCACAGGAACCTGTCCAGACTGTCTCTAAGAATCAGACATGATTGAATGAAAAAAAAATTGAGAAAACATTTCTTCTTGTCTATCTTTGTTTTAATATTATTTTCATTAAGGATGATATGTAAGGGCCTAATTCTATTTAAGATAAATTATCTTTAATGATAAAAAGAAAACTTCAAATGGCCCAAACGCAGCAAATTTACACTCTAACAAAAATGATCTTGATACAAATCTTAAACTTATACCAACACTATATATTAAATACAACTTTTCTTTATACTGTTATAAGTTTAAAAAAGCTTGGAGAGGAGGAAAAGGGATTTTTAAGTGTTATTACTTCAAAAATTAAAGCAATACTATCAAGAAAAAGAGCATTAACCTTCTGGTTAATATTACGTCCCTTTTATTTTTCTCTGTATAGAGAAGGAAGTGAATATGTAAAGTATTAGAATTTGCTACAAATAGTAATGAGAAACTAGTTATCTTCTGTGAGATTGCTGGGATAAAAAAATCCCCCCCCCCCCAACTGTCTCATCTTTCTATCAGCGATCCACCTCAACATTGCAGGAAGCCAGCAATTATTGAGCAACTATCTGGCAGAATTAAAAGTAGTGGGTGCAGGGTGGCTTAGTTCTTGGGGTAATTCTGTAGAGATCTTTGTCTTCTTTGTACATGCTGAAATGACCACCTACTTGCAAACATGCTGGCAACTACTGCATGCTTCCAGCATGTCAAGGTTGTCTTTTTTCCTTTATATTCTAAAACTTACAGGCTCCAGAACAGTGACATCAGTCAGTTGAACTCTGGTCATGGATTTTTGAGTAGATATTTACCAGTTCAAGACATCATTAGAGGCAGGAGATAATTGTATACCTTTTATCAATTATAAAATTAATATGGTGTAGAATATTAAAATGTTGTCTAGAAGCTAGGAATGACTTTACCACCACTAGCCATGTTTTAATTATACCAGTACCTACTGTAATGCATTATATTTGAAACTGCCTTTAGTTCAAACAATACCCACAAACTAGTCAATTGCATTTTAGTTAGCAAGTTGCATGAACCAAATATCTGATTCTACTTTTGTGCATACCCATAAAACTGGGTCAATTGCATAAACCATGGCTAATTTTACCTGCAAGCATGTCATGAATACATCTGGATTTTCCTTCTATTATTCCAGATTTTTTTCAGTGTAACTCTAGACAGCCTTTTCTCATTTTTTAGCGATTGTCATTCATGTTTAAATGTTGTGTTTAGCTATACTAGTGAGTTCATAGAAATATTCATTCAACAGATTATTTCAGGAGAGTGTTCTACATTCATTTCTAGTAATATCAAGTAATATGCACAATGCTTAAAAATAGGAGTGTTTCAAATTGTAACATTGACACTTCTATAATCCCTTTACTTTGAAATCTTTTAACTCAAACATCCAAAATATCATTCCCTGCTTGGCTTTAAAAGATGGGAGATAAATGCCATTGTTCATCTTTTAGCATTTATTGATCTTATAACCACTCATTACTCCTTCAGATTTGGTACTTTATATTGCATCTCAACTTTCCTCTGATATCTAAGGGAATGCATCCAAACTCAGAAACATAATAATAGTTTAAAATGATTTTGTTCATGGTCAGTGTAGTTTAGGACTTAAGAGAGTAAACTTAAATCATGCCAATTCTAACATGCTTATCACCACATTCCCTTTTTCATCCACTCTATAAAACATACCAGTTGGAGGCAAATGCTTTGAGTATTTACATTTTGTGGAAATTTAAAGTATGAAAATGTATGCAAACTTTTTGTGTCCTATACTAAGAGAAGGGGCTTGAGAGGTATTAGGAACTGTCAAAAACACTTTTTAAAAATTTATAAAAACTAATATGATCATTCATCCCAACATTCCACTAAAAAGCTTTTTTAAAGAGAACTCTAAGATTTTATTTTTTTCTCCAATAGTAAACATTTATCATGATTGCCTAGTAATATAGAGGTATGATTATGGACAACTTGCCTTTTATGTTCAAGATTTTCTGTAAAAAATTCACAGAAATAAGCATTTGACAAATATTTCTTACAAAAATGTAATATAAAGTTGATGGTCAATAGCTATTACAAGTTAAAGACGACAATACAATATGACCAAATGGCATTTTTGGTTTATCTATAATATTGATAAATCCTCACTAAAGACTAGTAATTGGGAGAAGAATTTCTGTTGCTAGGTGATGAGGTCATAAAGCGCAATGTCATATGACCACATTAATAAGCAACAGCAACCCAGTCAGTTCCCCAGTTGCCATCATTAACTAAATCACTGCAGATTGTTAAATGAGGATCTCATGTGGTTGTTTGTTCTGACATTTTGCTGGCTTCCCCATTGACTTTGCTTGCAGGTAGTGGTAGAGAAGTTGGAAATTGCAATCATGTGACAAGGGGATACTGCAACAATAAGAAGTTGGAGCCATTTGCCAAGTACTTGTATTGCAATCATATGGCCACTGGAGCGTTGCAAGGTTGTAACTATCACTATTGTAAATTCAAACAGTTGCTAAAGGAGTGGCAATTAAGCAAGGATTATTTGTATTATTTCATGTAATTGGTCTCTCCTCTCTTTACAAATGCTTTGGCTGTTACAAAACAGAATACTTATACAAGTTTTCAGAAAAAGGACACAATAAAAATTTATTTTAAATATATTATAAAAGAAAGACCATTCAATTTGTAAAAATACTAAACTTGACATCCAAATGATTTCCAGTTAGTCAGCGATACTACATTAAAGTGCTAGACATCCTTGATTTTCCCCAACTTAAGACATTGTCCCAAGATGCACAAAATAAATACACAATTTGTGGCAACATCCAATTTAAAAGAAACTGTTAAGCATGCATTACAAAGAGGGAAACTGTTTAAGAATCCCTGAAGACTTTCTACATATGAGCTGCATTTTTCTTGCTTCTTTCCCCTTAAATCTTTCGCTGTTTAATAATATTGTTGGAAGAGCTAATGTTATACTTACTTTGGTTACATATCATGTAATGTTGTGAACTTAATGCATATAATTTTCTTCAAGATAAAAATATCTACCTACCACAACATGTTTGTATGCTTTTAAATTCATTCAAATTAAAATCCTTACCTACTAGAATGTGAAGGTATCTCTAATTGATGACAAATCTATTGGAGAGCTTAGAACAGAATGTAGTTCAAAATTGTAAGTAGACCTCAAATTGAGCTGTTTTTTAAAATGGCTATAGTGATCTAAAATGATATTTAAGGATGATAAGTTTATGTAAAACTTGTTTTTAAATTATCCAAACAGAACTACAATAGTGTCTTTAATTTAACATTTATGTACTCTATGTTTTAATTTAAGAAAAAAGAGGCATTCTGTTAAAAAAACAAAAGAAAATCAACTGCCTGTAATATATTTCCTTGGAGGTTCCACTTCCTATGTTGGAGCCCAGCTGAGATTAAACCTAGCTGGGAGAAAAGCACCTGTAGGAAGTCACCATAGGAAGGTAAAATAAATCCCTTGGGGAAGACTTGCTTGGTTCTTTTAAGATCAGTTATGAATTCAGAATACTTCAAAATCTTTAGCAATATTTGTTTAAAATCTAGTTCATTGTGATTGTTCACCAAGATACTACAACTTCTGGAAAAACTCTATGTACTTTGAGCATGTTAAGAACATTTAGAAATAGGATGCCTAGAATTCTAAACAATTAGTGGCATAATTGAAATAATGGGAGGCATAATGTCAGGCTGCACTAAAAATAATCCAAGACACAGAAACTTTGTGCAGCTCTTCAGCCAGAAATGTTGATTTTGTTACATATTAAAGGAGACATTATTCTTTATGCTAGTTTAACTTACATCAAACTAGTAATTTTTATATCAGTGTCAGTACTCTGTGAATAGTTCTATCAAACATTTCCCCCCAGATGTGAATATTTTTATATTGCAGATCTATAAGAAAAATGAAGATCGAAATAGAAACTTAAATCAATGAATTTACTCTTTGCATGGTAAAAAGAAATATAGTATGGTCTACTAATCTTCTACAGATAGCCTTTGATTTACGACAGTCAGGACTGGAATTTTGGTTGCTAAGCAAATCATCACATGTCTGAACCAGATTTTCCAGCCATTTTTATAACAGTTGTTAAGCAAATTACCACAGTTCTTAAGTGAATCACATGATCACTGAAGTGAATCACACAGCTATTCAGCAAATCCAGTTTCCCCAATTGACTTTCCTTGTTGAAGCCAGCTGGGAAGGTTGCAAATCAGTCATGTGATCATAAGATCCTGCAACTGTTGTAAATGTGATTGCCAAACATTCAAATTCAATCACGTGACCACGGAGGGTGGTGACTCATAATTTTGAGGACAGGTTGTAAGTCACTTTTTCTGAAGCTCTCATAACTTTGAATCGTCAGTTAAATGAATGATCATAAGTCAAGTACTGCAAGTACTACAGTACTTGACTTCATCATTATTGTTATCTAGAATATGATCAAAAAATTGGCCCGACAATAACAATAAATAGCAACCACTGAACAGATTTTCTTGTACTATTCACATTTCTGGTATAGAAGCTATCAGATCCTCAAGATGACTAAAACAAGTACCACTGTGAAAAAGTATTCAAGAATACATGAAGATGTAAACAGTTTTCTTTTAGCACAGCCCTATTATTAAGTTTAATAATACTCTCATAGTTCGATAATAATAATCTCATAGTTCGAGGCAACTAGATCTGGGGAAGGATGCTTAATATCCCATATAATTAATTATATTTTGATATGCTTGGAAATTCACTGGAGAAATTAGGGTTAACATTTTCATATTTGTGTGCCACCATCTAGTACTAATAGCCAGTCAGGATGTCCTGTGAAGATTAATACCTCCCAACACTTGTAAATGAAGTGAAATGTCAGAACCCAGAGATTCTCAGATTTTCTAAATTATCCATCATCTTTCCATCTTGCAATCTGAACTTAAAATAACATCATACTGTCAAAATATCACTAACTGCACATAGTACATAAGTCTTGTACATTTCATACCTATTTTACTCTTGTCCAGCAAGGCACTAGGAAATTGTTCAAGTTTAAGCTTTTGTTGTACATTTGCATTTTAAAAGGCACTTCTTTATTTTAATGATGCTGTTATGTTCAATTTTACTGAAACTCTAATTGGTCAAGTGTATGCAAGAGTTTTCTAAACCAAACAGTTCCCTGTAATTATGATCTTTAGTTGGCTTCCAAAAATTCATATAGCATCACAACTGACCACAATATTTCTCTTCATAAAAGGTAAAGTCAAAATGGTCAGTTAAAACTATACTGAATCGCTGCAACTAAGTGAGGAACCACCTATTTACAATCATTTAGAATGCCTTATGGAATAGCAGATAAAATGGCAACATTGTAACAATTTTATAACTGCAAGCTGTCTCCAGGCTCAAAAGTGTGGTTGTGTGTATGTGATGATCTATAAATAAAGTCCTATGCAACTTGGAATGAGGCTATTTGAAGGACTGTTCTTTCTGAATATTCCTTGGCTTTTAGATCTTTGATAAATGTCTTCTTTCACTCCACCACCAAGAGATGGGAACTCAAGAAAAGGCCTTGTTGATGTCTGCTACCAGAGTTTCAAGTTGCCTGTCCCAAAAAGTCATCTTTTCAATCAGTGGGTAAAAGTACCGTTATTTAGACTTATCTTAAAGTATATTTTGACTACTAAATTAGGTATATATGCTATTGTTTTCATCATACAGCTATAATTATATTTTACATTTTAAATGTAATATTTGTATAAATTCCTGGAAAGTTTTTATGTAGGATTTAAGTCTAATAAATGAATAAATACAAGGTCACAGTACCCACTATTGTTCTGTAGACTTAGCACCGAGAGATCTGATCCTCATGTAAAATATGCTTGCTACTTGAGGTCAAATAGTGTGACTCTGAAGTATTCCTAGTAAAATTGGGAAGCTAAATTTTTATTTTTAACATAACTAGTTGATAAATTTCCAGAGGAAGTATTTACATACATGCAATCTGGAAAGTTTATAGAACATGTTTTCATGATTATAAATAAACATGAATGTGGACTAATTATTTACAAACATGGTAAAATGAACGTTCATTACTCAACTAGTCAATTGTTACTATAACAAAACTTTAAAGAGTTCTAAAAGAATCATTAGTATTAGAAATCAAGAATTACTAATCTGTCAATTTATTTGGTAAAAAAATGACAGGTATTATATTGCTGCAGAGAAATCAAAATTTTTCACTATCCTCTTAAGATCTAAATGGATTGACAAAATTGCCATGTTAGATGCAAGAGCCATAATTATAACCGGATCAGGAATATGCATTAGGAAATTCAGTTAAAATCTGACTTTATTCTTAAACTTGCCACATATGGCTTATTCAGTGTCTATCTATTATCACAGATATTTGGCATTCATATCTGTGAACATTGTTTGAACATATACTGATTGTTATGTATTATTTAGTCAGGCCCATCATGAAAAAACAAACATCAAGTTAAAATGGCAACTGGTCATGTACACCAGTGGCCCCCAATCTTTTGGGCACCAAGGACTGGTTCCATGGAGGCAGGTTTTTCTGCAGACCGGACAGAGCTGATTTTGCATGCTGCCTGCATTGCACAGATGGGGCTTTGCTTGTTTGCGCAGCCTGATTTCTGGCATGCTACAGACCAATGCCGGTCTGCAGATTGGGGGTTGTGGACCCCTGATGTACAGTATTTACTGCTGCTATTACTATAAATTATGGTATGCAAGAATAACACTACTAAGTTTATTCTTGTCTTAAATTGACATTTTACTGTAATCTACATGTTTCCTGATGTTTAGTTACTTCAGTTATTTAGAAATTTTCAGTGATGTTCATTCTTGCAATTTTCTTAACTAAGAACCAAAAAAGGAAACAAAACAAAAGGAATTGGATAATTAAAACTTGAATAAAAGACATTTTCACATGAATTCATTTTTGAATTCTAGCTGTGTTCCTCTATACACTTCACAGGTTGTCACTGTTTCCAAATCTATAATTATAACAATGTAGACTTCTAGACTTCTTGCTTAATGGAGATGAATTATCCAGAGACATAGATGCAGCATCATCAAAGTAAAGACTGGCCTGATAGTCACTCTCTCCTGAGATTCTCCCTTTTTCATTTTTTAGAAAATTATTTTTTTAAAAATTGTCATATCCCCTGTAAAAATTATGACTGTAATATTTACATATAAATAATGTCTTTAAAGATCAAGATTCTTATTAAATGTTTCCAAGACTGTTGAATTTGTATGTTCAAATATCCATTGTTGTGTTGGAGATGAAGGATTGCACATGTTCATGAAGATTTTTCGATCACTTTCATTACAGTCCATGCAGCTGCCACTTACTGGGTGATAAAGTGTCTTGTCCTGAGGATGAAAGTTAAAATTAGTCTCACTACGTATACTGTTTTATTGTTTAAATAAGTTCCTAAGCAAGTTTTGCATAAATAACTTTTTTCATATCAAAAGTCAATATATAATCCAACAGACTTTATTGGGAAGCATGTTTTGCAAAAGAAGCACATTGTTAAATTTTTGAAATTATGATGGTATTTGCTCCTTCTTGAATCTCTTCTTCTGAACAACATATTATTAATAGCTCCTTTTGTTTTTTATTATTTAAGCAAAAAATAAAGTATCATCCAAAATGTTACAAGATGATCACACCATTTGATGCAACTACATGTACTTACTTTGCGATATTTCCATAGCTGATTTCCTTTCATTCCATGACAGTCATAAAGGGTGATTGGGCTATTGTGGGAAATAGCATCAAAACAATATTTCTTTGCGTGTTGAGGGTCTCCTGGACGGATATCCTCTCGCCAGCTGAATGTGAATACCTGTTTAATAAACATATGCTATCAGAAATAAATGAGAAAAAAGATCATTTTTTTTCAGATAGTTACTTATTTTTAAATTATTTATTTTTGGACAAGAAATTAGACATTTATCAGTATAAAAGGCTGCCATTATATGGTCAAAGATTAACATATTAAGATTTTTTATACTGTTATGAGTCTTTCAATCATTGTCTTTATATAACAGAGAGGAATTATGCAAGAATTGATGCCTTAGATGACTTAAGTCATCAAAAATTAGAATCTAATCTAGTTGATATATTTATGTCTTCTGCCTCTTGACAGTCATAGACAGCTATAGATTGGATCATGGCCACTAAGATTATTTCGGCAATGGTATTACTGCCAGTACTAAGAAGAATCGTGTATGTGCCAACATAAGCCCATTGGCCTATTAGCACTCAGATATTCTATTAGTGATAAATGATTTTACATTTTGTGACAGAATTAGTCATTCTAATTCAGTTTTCAAGAACATCTGCTTTGAGATCCATGAAAGAATATTCTGCAAAGCCTTCATACTTAGTGATTTTTGAAAGATTTCTGAATTGTATTCATTTACATTTTGCAAAGATTTGCCAATTTCTAATGGTAAATGCTACAGTGATGGAAACACAAGTGTGTTTTATTGGTGTCTAGGTGGCAGTGAAAGTGAGGTGAAAATATCAGATGTCTGATGGGAGTTTTGATATAGTCTCTTGTCCATAACTCTATAATAAAAATATCATCAACAAATCTTAGTTTTAGAAGACAATTTAGGCGGAGCAGGAATTGAGGAAGCATTGTTCTAAATAGTAATATTGCCATAATGTGATGATATATAATTTCCCCAAGTTAAAGTAATTTTTAACCCTCTTCCAATTGCTCTATGTATATTATGTGTATATTATATGTATACTATGTAAACATAATACTATATTTACCTGTTAGTATTATATTTGATTTGATTTTTTAAATTCTGCTTTTATTACTTCATAACTTAAGATGGCTTAATACTTAATACTTCTTCCTCCAATTTTCCCCACAACAACCCCGCAAGGTGGATTGAGCCAAGACAGTAACTAGCCTGGTCACCCAATTGGCTTTGATGCTTAAAAGAGGTGGAACTAGTTTGATAAAGTAGGCAATAATATAAGGAAATTAAAATCATTTGTTACTACACTATTTAAAAGATCACAAAACTATTTCATTAAAGAAACTGTTATATTATTTCAACATTTGCATAAAATGTTAAGTTTTGTGACAAATTCTGAAACCTCAAAAAATGAACCCCCATTTTTATAACACTCAGTAACTTAGAAGGAAGTTGAGTTGTGATTACTTCCACTTATTTATTGTTTTTTTTAATTTTTATATTTGATTTTATTTTTTACAAATCTATTTTGTAATATATGTGTTTATTTTTCAAGTTTTATGTTATTAGTATTGTGTACTAGATGTTTTAATTTACTGGATGGTTTTATAAATTGCTAAGAATTATTTGAATACAGCAACTATTTAGGTAACAAATTTAGTAAAATAAGTAAATACATAAATAATATTGTTTTAAAAAAAGCACTTACCTGCACATTGCTCCATGCAGCTTCTCCTCTACCTTTCACACATGTTTCAACTCTTAGTGGTGAACCTAGGGCCCCATGCTTTGTATCTACACAGAGACCAGTCCCTACATTACGGATCTGAGAAACAAAATCAGAGATGAGGGCCATATAATAAGCAGCAGCTTCACTTGATGAATTTTGTGATGCAATTCTTAAAAATTTAAAAATGCATCAAAAAATATGTATGCCAAGAAAACTGCAAGTTCAGGCTTTATACAACCTTAAAAATAGCAAGAAACAGGACAGAGTAGATTTACAACTGAAGTGAATGACTGACTACATTTATTAAACTGACATGAATCAGAAATATCATAGAATCATTTATTTTTGAGCTGTGGTGGCACAATGATTAGAATGCCGTATTGGAGGTTGACTCTGCTTATTGCCAGGAGCTTGATCCTGATTGGCTCAAGGTTGACTCAGCCTTCCATCCTTCTGGTAAAATGAGGACCAAGATTGTTGGGAGCAATATGCTGAATCTTAAACACTTAGAGAGAGTGCTGTAAAGAACTATGAAGCAGTATATAAGTCTAAGTGCTGTTGCTTTTGCGTTATTTCAAAACAGCTCTTGGGGATGTCCTATAAGTTTTGATAACTCTCCTTTATACTTTTTAATCTCTTTAAGATTGCTCCTTCCCTCAAAACGACACTATAGAGCATTGCACACCAGAACAATTAGACACAAGAAAGCCATCACTCTGCTAAATAAATAATTCCCTCAACCCTGTTCAACTATGACAAAGTCTGCATTACTATTACTGTTAATCACTCATCACCCATCCCTTCCCACTTGTGACTCTATGACTGTAACTTTGTCACTTGTATACTTACGATTTATATTGACTGCTTCCTAGTATAATTTGATTGCTTATTGTACCCTATGACTATCATTAAGTGTCATACCTTATGATTCTCGACTCTTGACGAATGTATCTTTTCTTTTATGTATACTGAGAGTATTTACACTAAGACAAATTCCTTGTGTGTCCAATCACACTTGGCCAATAAAGTATTCTATCTATGTATCTATTACAATTGAGGTTACTTTCTGTCAATTCACTCCTAACTAAACCTTCAAAATCTTTCTTCAGTTCCTCCTCTCTGCATAATTTAAAGAGAGAGAAAGAGAAGAGGAACCTTGTATTACTGGTCTGAGGGTATTCTAATATCCAATCATCATATAAACTAATATAGCAACTTCCTGTTGACATGTATTGTTCAATTCCTATAAGTAAATCTGTAACACTGAAATTAAAAACACATGCATTAAAACATGTTGACCAGCCTTTGGGAATGGAATCAGAGGGACCAGAAATTCTGTGGCTATTACAGTATCTGCAACTATATGCTAAAGTGTAGCTAAATGGACTGAGTAACTTGAATAAACTAACCTCTCCCCAGGCAGCTGCTGGAGGTTCCACAGGTGGATAGAACTTTCCCAAGTCCCAAGCAACTTCATTCATAAACCACTTGAAACTTTTGCAGTTGAGTTTAATGCGAAGTTCTTTCTGAGCAGTCACATCCCCTGCAGACAGATGTCGATATTCAGGTCTCCTTTGATAAATGTATTCTGCATATTCGTCCATCCACACTTCAGCTACCCGTTTCAAGTTCTATAAGATTCCAATATTTTAAAATGAAAATAAAATAAAAAATAACTTGATAAATAGGAAGGAAAGGAAAATTTTAAAAATAGCTAAAGATAACAGACAAGATCAGAACTAGTGATAAGCAACTCTTCTCTACTTCTTTACTATTGGCAGATACAGGAGACTGACTATGGTAAAAAGTTAAAAAGGTTAAATAATGTATTTTAGGTAGACACTGATCTCACTACAGTATTTGGCTGATATATACATTATCAGCTTGACTCAAAGGCAACTTCATTTTGTATAATTCAAGATACACTATTTCACAATAAAATTATAAGACTGAGTAAATGCACTAAAATTGATTAAAATTTAATACGGAACTCTTCAATAGATAAAACATTTTAAAGCTAGGCTTGTAATATAGGAAGTCAAATAAGGGAATGTATAATAATTTTTTAAGTTATTAAAGGAATTTTCCCATTACTTCTTTTCCCACAAGGGGGAGCCTCTAACCACACTTTAAGATATGTTAATTTTGAACAGGAAGTAATGTATCTTTTAAAATGAATATTCACAAATTGAAAAGGAAATCTTGAATTTATAGTGAGGTAGTGACTAAATTTCTCATTGGAGCATGTTTTCAAATATCGTAAAAACTGGTAAGTTCTTCATTGTGAAAACGTAATAATGTTATGAATTTTGCATACATTTTAACAGCTTTAGACCTTCAAACCTTTTACTAATGCATTTTCCTTTACTTTCCTATCTTCTGCTTACACGGACATGAATTTTTAAAATAAAAGGCATAGGAACAGGCTTCTTGTGTTAACAATAAAAATTTTACCACAGTTCAAGTGGATGATTTTTTTAAAATGCTCCATTGTGAAGATGTAAGAACAGCACAGCAAGATAGCTTCTTACCCTAGCTAAGCTGACTCCTGTTGGAACCTTATAAGGGACATATTTTCTATAAATGTGACCAACTCGAGAACAAGGGATATCTTCCATGCGACCTCCACACATCCAGACCTGTGAAATATGAGAAAGAACATGTACATTTTTTTTTACTATGATGGCAATCAAAGCTTTTGAAAGCAGAAATGATGCAATTTCAGCAAAATACACTTAGACCTTATATATTGTCCTATACCCTTTCATAGAAGTATGAACCATATCTAAAGTATTTAAGACAACTTTGTATTATAAAGATATTAGGCTATAACACCTACCCCTAAACTAATTAGAAAATAAGGTGCACAATAAGGTGCACAAATCTAATGCACAATTTGCCTTACATCTTATGTCAGTTTATCTCAAGAATACTGACCTTTTATATACAGGAAAATTCAATCATCTAGTATATGTTTTGTAATTCTCAGCATATACATGAAATGTCTAATTGAGGGTGAAGGTTCGTTCTGTGAGTTTGTGGGTTGGTTTTTGTATGTTTCATTACTAGGCTAGGTAACATCTTCAGCTGAGTTTAGGGGATCTCAGTGTTCTTCTGTTTATAAGGGCTTTGTGTGGTCAATGGATCTTGTGATAGGTCAGGTGTGCGTGTGTTGTTAAGCAGTGCAGTCACATAATGCTTTGCTCAACAACAGAATTTCTGGTACCAACTAGGGTTATTAAATGAGGACTACTTGTACTTTTAATTAACAGTTAATTGCTTAGGAACTTATCTAACTTCTATTAGATAATTATTTTCCACTTTTGGCTTTACTAAGGCCCAAGATTACTAGACAATTATTACTTAAAGGCTGGATGGACTTTCTTTGGTTTTATGTTGTTTTTAGAGTTATTGATTCTGTGTGTGTATGTGTGTGTGTGTGATTTTAAAAAAGACATGTAAGCCACCCAAAGTGATTGTGAATTGGCTGGCCTATAAAATGAACAAATAGCATACTGACAAATTTAATTCTGAATTTAAAATTGACCCTCAATTAGCTTGACTAATACTTGCAGTTATCATCCCAGTATTATCCACATTTGATTAAGAAATTTATTATTCCTGAATCTTTTTCAACTCTGTATGAACATTCTTTCATACTTGTATGGATGTAACTTCTGTAAGTCTATGTCAGTGCTTCCCAAAATATTTTCCTTCATTACCAAAACTCCTTATCGGAAAGTCTTTTATATTCAATGTAGGTAAAACACTTTAAGTCAATTTTCCCTATTCCCCTGTGTGATTGGATAATGGGTTTTTGTGTTGTTACTGAAAGAGAAAACAATTTTAACCCAAATTTGGGTAATTTAGCTTCATTTGGGAAGCACTGATCTAATTGAAGAAGAGCTTTTGTTTAGTATATTCCTTCCAATAGGCTTAAATTATATTTAAATACTTTGACTAATAATAGCACACTTTAAAACAGTTTGAGTGTGTTGTTATTATAGAATATAAACATGCATTTATTTATAGACTAAGGAGCTACAAAATTATTTTAAAGGTTGTCTGCTTAAGAATATGGCAAACTTTCCAATGCAAGTCGTTAGATGGCCGATACTGAAATGCTGAAAACTTCATTTTGTGAGCTTTCATTTTGCAAAAGAAATTCAATAGTTAGCTGTCCCTGAAGCTATTTTATGAATTAAAATAATATTTTGATATTAATAGCAATAAAAATGTAATACTAGCTTTGGGAGTTAACAGCACTCTTATGTTTTAAGTAATTCTTGAATGCAAATAGTATAGCCTTTAAGATAGAAAAATATCACAAATAGATAAACTAGTACAAGAACTTTTAAACAAGCTTGAAGAATGCTGCTTGACTGCATGTTTCTTCGTTCTGCTATCACCAGTTGTTGTTTCCCATTAAAAATCTTATCCTACATAATCTTATATATGTTCATTTTATTTAATATTGAGGTGAACTTTTCTTTTTGAAAATCCAACATTTTATACTTTATCCAATATTTCACATGATCTTTGAAACGTGGACCGCTGCATTTTAGAAACACATTATTTGACCATTTTAAAGCCTGGGAAAAAATGCTAGAAATTATTAAAATAAACTGAGTTGATTTTCTCCTTAGGTTGTGTTTACAATTTGTATTTTTCAAGTTTGAGAATTCAATGTAGTTAAAAAAAATCCTTAAGATGATTCTTGTAGGATCAGGTTGGAATGAAAATTATTTTATTTCTAGGTCTATTAGTGTCCCAGCTGATGTTCCAAATTCACATTCAAAGTATGTAATTTAAACAAAGAAAACCCCCAAGATTTGGGAATATAAATTTCAGAAATAAATCCTATATACTGTGTTTCCCCAAAAATATGACCAGGTCTGCAGCTGAGAAATGGGCTCTGGATTGATACGCAGCCTCTGGCTTCCGTTTTGTCTTCAGATGCCTTCCGGAAAGCCCTCTGTAGCCAATAAAAGAGCTTCGGATTGATCCAGAGGCCGTTTGTCAGCTGCAGAGAGTTTTCCAGAAGGCTCTGACGGTGAAACAGAGACTGGGGGGGGGGGGGGGGGGGGGGGGCAATGTCCATGTCAATCCAGACCTCATTTCTTGGCTGCAGAGGGCTTTCCGGAAGGCTCTGATGACAAAATGGAGGCCAGGGGTGATGTGTGTCAGCTGCAGCAAGCGGTCGCAGGAGAAGTGGGCCTGCAAGGTGAAGCAAGTGTGAGACCTGGTAAGCAGGGCAACTCCACTCTCCTTTCCCACCCTAGCTTAAGTTTTACCTGTGCGCCTTGCTCCATCCCCTGCACCTCGGGGTGGACGGGGTCTTTTTGGGGGAGGATTTAATTTTAGCGCATGCATTAAAAACATAGGGCCTCTTTTCGGGGTGGGTCATATTTTCGGAGAAACACGATAGATCTACAATTCATTTGTGGACAATAGTATTGGAGATACCGGGTGGTTAGGGAATCTGGTGTATAAAAATATAACTTATGCCCGTAAGCATATATCCATTCTTTAAAAATAAAAATGGCCTTTGGCTGTGGTCAAGATAATAACCTCCCACCAAAAAAATGCAGAGTAGTAAATTGCATCTTGGGGTTTATGTCTTATTTACTAAGCTTATATGCGTCTCCAATTTTAACTATGATCAACTTATGGAGCTACAAATAGTAAAAGGATCAAAACAATCCACACAACACCAGTAATACCTGACAATGGGGAACAGCTCTAAAATATATATATTCTGGAGGATGAATACATGCACCCACACCCACACATATATGCACACATACGTGTGTGTGTGTGTATGTGTGTGTGTGTATTCATCCTCCAGAAAGGACCAAATACAGCTGCTCAGACCCAAAAGCACATTGAAACAGTCAGGTCTTATTTGCTTACAGAAAGCCAGAAGAGGTGGGGCTAGTCTAGTGTTGAGGGGAATGTTCTTCATAGAAAGTATGCAAACTCAGAGATGGTGGCTCTTAGGAATCTTCCAGGTGGCATTCCCTAGAGGTCAAAATCAGACAGTGCCTCCTCTTCCAGGAGGTAATAGTATGTGGAAAAGAGCTTGGGACACAAAGGGAAGAGCCTCAGCCAGAGTAAAATTGAGATTAAATGGAAATTTAGCTTGCAGAACAAGCCTGCACTTAAACACCTGTCTGCCATTAACCTATAAACAAGGTAAATTATTTATAAGTTCATGCTAAAATATTACAAATCTCTTTTCTTCTCTTTTAACTAGCTAAGCTCCAAGTTTTAAAAAATGGTTTCTATTGATGTAGTACATACTGTATAAATATAATTTCAAAAGCAGGCTTCCTATTCATTTTTATTGCTGTTTTGATTCATTTTATTATCAACATTTTTGTCCAATGACAAATTTCATTACAAGAAAATGAGCAGCTCCTTAAAAAAGGAACCAGTGGACATGAGTATCATGTTATATTACTGTAGAAGGAAAAAAGCAAAAGGCTGAATTAAACATTACTGAACAAGAAAATGAGCAAGTATCAGACAAACAGTAATTCTTGCTATAAGTCCCCTTTGATTTTATTTTTCCATGAGGCAGCATGCTATTCATGAAGCATTCAAAATTCATATTCTGTCTCACAAAATTATTTGTGCCTCATAATCTGAAAGCTATCCTCAGACAATATATTGGTCATTTTTGACATCATTTCCTTTTTACACAAAAATAAATATTACAAGGTAGTATTGGATTCTATTGCAAAGCCGACAATACAAGAGATAAATACAATAATAGCAGCCCCTCTCTGAAAGTTTAGGAAATATAAATGAGCAGGGTGGACTATTTTTTAGCAGTTTTACTATAACCGTTGTACTAACTGGCAAAATGGCATGTAATCCTTTAATTTTGTTTTTAGTGCAACTGACTATAGTTGAATGCACAGTTTTCTAGTTAATTATTCTCAAGTAAAATTAAAGTTTTGAGGTCTTCATACAAGGTTAAGCTGATGTATACAAGAACAAGAATCAAAGATGGTAAGTTGATATATCTTGACAAGAAATTATAAATCAGGATAAGGTTGCAAGTCATAGTTGCACAATAACTGCTGTTCTGTGTCAATGTTTCCCAACTTTGACAATTTCCAAAGCTGCCAGATTTGGGAAACAGTGTTCTACTTTACTATGTGGTTTAGAATAAGTCATACAATATAATGTTCTTTTTTAGCCATTATTATTATTCAAACCAGCTTTTGGAAGGGTGAGACCAGGAAATTGTCTTTACCTATTTAAAAGTCTAGATCTTTGCTGTATGAAAACCAAAGTGAATAGCAAACAGAACTAAAGAATTTATTTCTCTTGCTATATATTGCCCAGTATTCCTCGTGAAGGCAAAATAAGAAGAAAAAGAGAACATGACTCTGGTCCATTTGTTTTTCTTATATTAAAACTGACAGATATTTTTTTCCTAATAAGTGTCTACATTAAATAATATGAATTCTAGCCCATCTTGCTCCAATTTTCCTATTTTTCAAAAAATAATGATTCTAAGATTATTGAATTTGTTCCATAGATCACAGGACATATAGAGGAAGACAATGGATATGCATTCCTTCCTTCCTTATTTTCCAGAAGTCTCTCAAGACTTTGCTTTGTCATT